GAGAGAGAGTGTGTGTGTGTGTGTGTGTGTGTGTGTGTGTGTGTGTGTGTGTGTGTGTGTGAGGGGGGAGGAGCTTGAGCGGGAACAAGGGAGGCCGCGTCACATGCAAACGTCCATATCTGCCCCCTCTCTTTCTTCTCTTCGCCATCCAGATAGATACACAACAGCTAGAAGCCACACACCTTGATGTAGCGTGTGCTGTTGAAGCCCACGTCAAACGACGCCACATTCAGCACGCCACTCGTTGGGTGCGTGCCGTTCTTGTTGATATTCAGTGCCAGTCTCCGCATCTCAAAGTCTGCCGTTGTTCGCGGTGTCAGCATCATGCGCAGCACCAGCAATGGCAGCGTTGCGTCGAGCGTAACGGCCACTGTGGGATCACCAGTTGCCCGCACGCCCTCTTCCGTAGCACATGCGCTCTTGTCATCGCTGCTGTTGTGTTGGACGTTGTCACCACCATGCCCCACACTCTCCGGCGTGTTGTGGCGGCTCTTGGGCGCGTGTGACGCCACGGCCGCAGCACCTCTGTTCTTGCTGTTACTGCCGGTGATCGTGGCGGTATCACCCGCACAATCCTTGTTCTGCTGCTGCTGCTGCTGCTGAGGTGTTGGGGTGGATTCACTCGACAGTTCGTCGTGAACGCGCGGGTGCGACGTCGAGGGAGCTTCTGCTGCAGCTGCAGCTGTTGCTGTTGAAGTGTGCGCCGTGCTTGAATCACGTGGCCCAGCTGGTTGTTGCATGCAGGGATTAGCAGTGCCGCCGCCCGCGCCGGTCGCATGGTTGGCACTGTTTGACTGCAGCTTGCGTGCAATGTGTGTTGCTTGGTCCGCAAGACAGTGCACGGCGAGCACAAGCGACACGTGCTGGTTGAGCGACCACAACACCTCGATGCGCGCAATCACGGGGCTAATCTGCAAATGCAATTTCCCGTCATCGAGATGATCGCGCTTCGCAGAGAGCGTCATCTCCCACGACAGCGCAAGCACCGTTGTGCGCTGTCCAGGACCGTGCCCGCCAATGTCACCAACATGGCTTGCGCTGCTTCTACGGCTGCCGCTGCTGCTGTTGGTATCACCGCTGCTCCATCCGTCCAGCACAGCGTGCGACGATTGCGTCTGCCTCACCGTGGTGGTGGCGTTGCTGTCGTTGCTGTTGCGAGACGACGACCGTGATGATGAGCGCGACCTGGTGGTGTCTGCGTCAGACGCGTCCGGAAACATTGGGGTGCATGTCCCCGGTGTCTGTGCACCCTGATCCTTTGCCCACCACGGCTGCGCAAATGTCGCTGTTTGCACCTCCGTATCGTGGTCGACAAACCCTTCATGCATGAACCGAGCAGGCGCATCATCATCATCATCATCATCATCATCATCATCATCATCATCATCATCATCATCATCATCATCATCATCATCAACATCAGCTGCTGTTGCTGCTGCATCCTCGCTTTCGTCTCTACTGTCACTAGCACGGTGAGTGCGGCGCACTGGCTGCTGTTTGGTGCCACCGCTGCGACGGCCAGGCCTATCATGTCGCCTTGTCGCACTCCCACCTCGTGATCTCATCACACCACCACCACCATCATCACTCTCACTGTCGCTGTCGCTGTCGTGCACACCAAGCATGGACGCCATTGCTCCTCCAACAAAGCTGCTTTGCAAACTGTGAAACACGTCGTCGTCATCATCATCGTCATCACTGACACCGTTCTGCACATCTCTACCGCTCCCGACATTTGCTCCAACTCCACCATTTCCCGCCCCACCACGTTGTGTGAGTGATGCAACCGTGGCAGCGGCAGCAGCGTCAATGGACGACAAGTGCTCATCGCTCGTCACGCTCACACCAGTCCACCGCCGCGTCCTGCGTCGTGCGTGCTGGTCACGAGGGGCCATCGGCGATGGTGAAGCCATCAAGGGTGACGGTGATGGTGATGACGATGCAGGCGACACGGACAGGGATGGCATGGAGGTGGTCTTGGCAGGGCGGGCAAACACATCATCGCCGCTGTCCCGCCCACCACCACTGCCAACAACGACTCTTGCGTCGCCATCGTCATGTCGCAGCGTGGCGTCGGCAACCGCAGCAAGGGCACCGCCACCGACAGTCCTGGATGGTGGACGCAGATTGGAGGTGGTGATGAAGCCTGCTGCAATATGGCCATCAAGACTTCCCGGGCCAGCAGCAATCTTGCTCACCGTGAACTGCGCACGCGAGAGGCCGAGGCAATACAGCGTCGTCTCTGCCAGCATCACCGTGCGTGCGTGTCGTGGGTTGTCCGTGTGTTTGCGTTGCGTACGACCTTGGTCGCATGCGGTTTGGTTCCTCTGCTGTTTGCTGTCAGTCTTGCGTGCACCCTCTCCACAGCCACCGGATTGTTTGCCAACACCACACGCGTTTTTCTTCTTCTGCTTCTTCTTGTTCTTCTTCGTCCTCCTCTTGCTGCCTTCGCTTCGGTTCGTGTTGCGATCGTGATGGCGCTGGCTCTTCCAACCATCATGCCCACCAGCACCGCCACTACGACTACTGCTGCTGTGTGCAGTGGATGGTGCGCACAGCTGCGTGCCCGGAACGCACACCACCATGCAGTCCAGCACAACCTCAGCGCTGAGCCCGACGCGAGACACGAGGTCTGGGGCGGCGATGATGGCGCCGAGTGGCGTGGACGATGTGAGATGCACGGCCTGACTCAGCACCTCGTACTTGCGGCGGCTGGAGGCCGTGGTGGAGGAGGTTGATGCCGTGTAGAACGTGGACGTGGACGCGTTGGTCGTCGTGGATGTGGCAGACGTTGACGTGGAAATGGGCACGGTGGTGCCAGCATCTGTTGGCATAGAGGTGGCAGACGCAGACGCGGACACAGCGCCGCCCGTGTCGCGCGCTTGTGGTTGTGATGCGTGTGCATCGCTGACACGGCTGCCAGCGCGCGTGAGATGGTCAACCAGCAGGTCGAGGAAGAGGAGAGCTGAAGGGGCAGCACACACCACAGCCTGCGTGCACCGCAACTGCGCCTTGCAATCGGGGCTCTCCCATCCACTTGCCGCCGTCTTTGCTGCCAACACATGCACATCTGTGAGGCGGAGTGCGGTGTCTGCGACGTGGTGGGAGGGCGAGAGCGGGCTGGTGATGTACAGTTTGCCTGGCAATCGCAGCACCTCCGGTACCGCATCGGCCTGCCACGCCCACGCCAAACGACCACTGCGCTGCTGGTGGTGCTGTTGCTGTTGTTGTGATGAGGGGGTGCGTTGGTGCTTATTGCTGGCCGGAGCGATGGTAGCAGGGGAGAACGTTGTGGCCGTGGCAGCCGTGGCACGACGCGTGTGTGGTGTTGCAGTGGCGTTTGGCGACCTGCCAACGTCATGAAAATCGCCACCACCACCACCACCACCACCACCACCACCACCACCACCACCACCACCACCGCGAACACCAGTTTGGTATGCTGCGGTGGATGCCGGCGCATGAGAGAACTGTGGTAGCTCTGGGCCTCTGAGGCTCTTGCGCGACTTGTGAACCTTGAAGACGCATTTCATGGCATCAAAATGGAGCGAGCTGCCAAAGGGCTGCGTGCCCTCCGGTGGAGGCAGCGGCGAGGATGACGACGACGAACTTGAGGGTGATGGCGGCTGCTTGCTGCCACGCTTCTTCCGCGCACTCTTGCGCCGTGATTTCCTGCGTTTGTCACCACCACCACCACCACCACCACCACCACCACCACCACCACCACCACCACCACCACCACCACCATCATCATCATCATCATCATCATCATCATCACATCCACCCAGGTTGTCACGCGCGTTGCCTGCAGGCACGGAGAACGAGTTGTGCGGCTGCAATGTCGCTGGCGCGTGCTGTCCCCACCAGTGCGTTTCGACGGCTGTCTGTTGCGCCGCTGAGCCATCACTTGGATTCGTCTCATCGTGGGCGTTGACGGAAACTCCAAACGCCAGGCGCTTTGCCAACAAATGGCCGCACATCACACGCGGGCGCTTCCACAGTGATGTCGATGAAGCAGAGAGGGGCGCTGCCGTGGCCGGTGTCTGTGTTGCTGCTTTGGTGGATGGTGTGCTGACGAAGATGGGGCCACTCGTGCCCGTTGCTCTTCGTTGTTGCTGGTGGTGGCGGTGGTGGCTTTGTTGGTGTTGTGGTGGCGTGTGCTTCGTGTGTTTCGCTTCAATCAAAATGTTTGCCTCGTCAACACGGGCGGCAACACTGATCTGCAACAGCCCCTGCATGCTCGCAACCATCAGGCGTTGCCCGCTCGTCAGATCAGAGCCAACGCTCGACTGTTGTTGTTGTTGTTGTTGTTGTTGTTGTTGTTGTTGTTGTTGTTGTTGTTGTTGTTGTTGTTGTTGTGCAGCAGCAGCTTGTCTCCTTGACGTTGTTGTGACACCACCACTTTTACCGGCACCGTCACCATCCCCATCACCAGCCACGCTGCAGTTGCTGTTGACGGGCTCCACTCCTGCTTCTCGCGCAAGCTCCGCCCTCATCATGGCGGTGGTGATGCTGTCATGCAGCGTCATCGAGCACAGCTGCGCCACGTGCACATGTGCATGGAAGCGGCCGAGGCCAACCGTTGCGCGCGCAGCCAACGCTAGCCGGTTCTCACCACTGCCACTGCTACTGCCTGATGCACCACCGCGGCCACTTGTTGCGTCACCGCCATCATTGCCGTTACCGCCACCGTCATCAGCACGAACAGCGTCGCCGTGACGACCAGCCGCAGCGCTACTGCTTGGGTTGTTTGCGGCAGTGGTGGTGGTGGTGGTGGTGGTAATACCACAGCGCTGCTGTTGAAGCGTGTACGACAGGGCCACTCGCGTTCCTTCAAACAGCGGCTGGTGGTGATAATGACGCTGCTGCTGCTGCTGCTGCTGCACATGAGCCCATCGCTCATCACTGGTGTGTTCACCATCAGCGCCAACGTCGTTGCCAGCATCATCCTCTTCGTCATCAGCACGCATGCTGTCACGGCCATCATCGCCACAGCACCCGTGTTCGAGGGCAGCGCCAATGCGATCCAGCCGGATCAGCGCACCGGTGGCCGAGCGCGACTGTGGACGCATCACGCACCCACCACCAACGTGCACGCACACGCTGCTCACACGGGGCGTGGTGTGGGAAGCATGCTTCTGCTTCTTCTGTGTGTTCTTGGTGTGCCGTGATGTCGAGGCATGTGTGTGCTTTGTGTGGTGACTTGCCTGCAGGCAGTGTTGCATGCGCACGCGCACCTCGCCCAAGCGAATGTTGCAGGGAACCAGCTGCCGGTTTGGTGTGTCAGAGAAGTATGTGCGGTTGAGCCAAGCGGACACGCGGTCCGGGCTGGCCATGGCGTCATTCATGGTTGCACCGGCGAGTTCATCCACATTGGCACCTGTTGTCATTAGCGACGATGGCTGCTGTTGTTGTTCTTGTTGGTGTTGTTTGTGCTGTTGCTGGCGCACATCAGAGTTGCTGGGGTGTTCGCTTGCGTGCAGTGGCGGCCGTTGTGGCGGGCGCAAGAGGGGGAGAAGTGTGCACCAGGCGGGTGCGTGTACATCCACACCTGCCAGGTCAACCGACACCCAGGCTGGAGCAGGCATGGTGCATGGCCCCGAGCGATGTGACGGCTGCACAAAGGCTGCTGTTATGTCCAGCGAGAGCGTGAGAGGCACAGTGGACGAAGCAATGCTTGTGCTACACGCAGCCAGCGAGCTTGACGAGACCTGCTCCGGTTGTTGTTGTTGTTGTTGTTGTTGTTGTTGTTGTTGTTGTTGGCGAGGTAAGCTTGTTCGTCCGATGGTTGCTGGTTCCTCCAGCCGTTCGCGAAATGCCCTGAAGCGCTTGAGGCCGTGCGGTCGCTGCTCTATCAACCAGTGCACGTCCGGCGCTTCACACACGCGCGTCTTTCGCGTCTGTATCGCACCCCTGTTGTTCTTCTTGTTCTTCTTCTTTGTAGTGGCTTCCTCTCGCTTGCCGATTACACCCTCTTCCTTCTCCTCTCTCCCGCTCACGCGTGCTGCACTTGTGTGTCGTTGCGTGGTTGTGGATGCTCTGCTGTCTGCAGTTGTAGTGGCTGCTGCGTCTGCTGCTTCGGCCAGTGCCGCTTCAGACATGAACACCGCATTTGCCGGAGCCAGCCATGCGGCCACGTGCACGTGTGACGTCTTACAGTGGCGCTGTGCCTCAGCAGCCAGCAGATATGAGACTGGATTGTGATCCCGCCACCGCCACACGTCACTGCCTACATCGGGAGTGCTCGTTCGTGGCAGTCCTCGTGCACTGTTGTTGTTGCTGCTGCTGCTGCTGCTGCTGCTGCTGCTGCTGCTGCTGCTGTTGTTGTTGTTGTTGTTGTTGTGTGTCGCACCCCCACGTAAGCTGGTGAGCGCTGCCGCTGCACGCTCGGGTGGAAGGTGGAGCACACGCGAGAGGCGCACGTGAAACTGCCACGATGTGCGACGGTGCGCGTGCTGTGCAGAGGACAGCAGTGAATCTGCCTCGGCTGAAGCCGATGCAATGCTCGTGTTTGAAGTTCGCGGCGGTAAGATGTCGGCCACTATGCGAACATCGCGCTCCAGTCGCACATGAACGAGCTGCACAGACGTGAATGGGCAGGGACGTGAACGTGTGAGGAGTGCAAATGGGTTGGTGTGCGTTGGGTGCGTGTGTGCTTGCGGGTACGTGCGCATGTATGCAGTGCGAATAGGTCTGTTCCCGCTCCTCTGCAACACCACCCATGACACACACACACACACATTCACACACACACACACATTCACACACACACATTCACACACGCACGCACACACACACATTCACACACACACACACACATTCACACACACACACACACGCACACACACACACACTCTCTCTCTCTCTGTCCGTTGTTTTTTTTTTCTCTCTCTCTCTCTGTCTCCCCCCCCCCCGTTTTATCTCAATGCACACCTTGAAAATGAACCAGGCAAGCCGGGTAATGAACGGCGTCGGTGGTGGTGGGGGCTGCTTGTTCTTGGGCAGTGAGGTGGGCGATGAAGCGGCAGTGCTTGCTGTTGGGCTGATGTACGTGTAGATAAACCCCCGCTTGATGGTGATTGTGAGGCCACTCTTGTCAATGAACCACGCGATTTGGTCCAGCTCCTGTGGAAAGACAACCCACCACAAGGCAAGTGAGGAGATATAGGGAGCAGGTTGGTTAGTGGCACGCGCAAAGTTGGGGCCACGGCACGCGTGCTACATGGGTGAGATACCGTATTGGGGACAAAAAAGACAGACACATAGACAGACACAGACAAAAACAGACACAGACACATAGATGCAGACACACGCACACACACATACACACACACACACACACACACACACATACATACACACACACCAGTGCAATCTTGGGGGTGGTGAGGCGAATGCTGGTCGCGGCCATCACACTGATCTGCCGAATCGTGAGCTCGCCGTGCAGGCTGCGGCGCACCATTCGGCCCAGCACAGTCTCCAGCACCCTGCAGTGTCAGCATATCAATGGATGTGGGGGTTTCAAAAACGTGGTGAGGTTGGCCTCCAACATCGAGTTGTAACGAACAGCTGAGTCAAGGCACACGCGAGGCTGTCAATGCACAAAAAAAAAAAAACGCACCTGGCCGGAAAAGCGGCGAGAATGATGGCAGCGCAGCTCGTTGCCATGCGCAAGATGGTGAAGAATGGGTGCAACGGAACAAGCCATGTCCACAAGAGGTTGAGCAAGATGATGTTCAGCAGCGTGCAAGCCAGGCTGGCAGCCACCAGCCCAGCACTGGCACCCCAAGCCATGCTTTGCTGTGTGTCGCTTGTGCTGTGGATGGCCCACACCCGCAGGCTACCACGTAGCCAGCTACTGCTGCCACTGCCAACGAGTCAAAAATTACTTCTGAGGGGAGTTCAACAACCAGTGCCGTCAGCAGTACCGGCAACACATCACAACTTCAGTTGAAACAAGCGCGTCTGACTGTGTGGCTTGGGTTCTCTGATGATGTGACGGCTGGTTCCGGATGCTTGCTGTGCGTGCCTGTTACTACTTTGCTTCGCTTGCTGTTGTTGATCCCTTCTTGATGGTGCGCCTTGTTTGTGTGTGTTTGTTGGCGATTTGCTGGTGCAGAGGTCAATTTTCTTTCGCACAATGCCACGGAAACGGCCAAAGCTGCAGCTCGCAGGACTGAGCGACGACGATGATGGCGGTGGTGGTGGCGAGAGGAGGGACGATGAAGGCTTACTGAGAGGGGTGGCAGCGGTGGTGCGGAGAGGCCAAGAGGACGAGAGCGCAGCGGGAGAAAGAGAAAGAGAAGCAGCGAGTGGGGCGGACGATGCTGAGCGGTTGCCTGGGCAAGAGGCCTTTGACAGCATCGCGGACTTGTTCCCAACACAGTACGTGTGCATGGATGCGGGGTGCTGTGTCGACAAGTCACATGGGCCAGGCGATGACCCTTTCTTGTTTGCGTGTGTGCGTGTGTGCGTGTGTGCGTGTTTGCGTGTGTGCGTGTGTGCGTGTGTGCGTGTGTGCGTGTGCGTTGTGTGGTTTCGTGTGTGTGTGCTCTTGTGTGTAGGTGCTTGTGTGCGCGTGATTGTGTGTGCGTGATTGTGTGTAGGTGCTTGTGCACATTGTGCACACATGCCTCCGCGGTACTGCACTGATACTGCTTGCTGCACTTGCGAATGCAGGTTTTTCAGCAATGTGCTGCCACCAGTGGTATTACAGCACCAGCTCTTTCATAGCGGCGTCGACCCCGGTGCCGTTGAACGATTTGTGGTGAGTGGGATCGCCTGCTGTGCGCATCTTCTATCTATGCCTGTGCGTCGGTGGAAGAAGCGGAAAGAGCAACCGTTGTGGTTTCCTTCCATCACAAACGCTGTTGTACCCATTGCACTGGCCTGAACTGCGGTGCTGTTGTTCAGGATGAGAGCTTGAAACGAGGAACCTTGCTGAAGTTTGAATTGGCGCGTCGTGATGCCGTGTGCCTCGTGCGCAAGCGCGGTAGGCGTGCCGCAGTTAGAGGGCAGTGGGACGTGCGCATTCTTGACGAATGGCTATGGCTGTGTGTGTGTGTGTGTGTGTGATGGCTTCCTGAAGCGCACGTATGCACGCGCAAACCCACACACAGACACCGACACTTGCACAAACTCACTTACTCACACTCACTTACTCACGCCCACACACACACACACACACTCTCTCTCTCCCTCTCTCAATAATTTGCCCTTATGCTCACCTCCTCGCCTTTCATTTCCCCTCCCCATCCCTCGTCAGATTATGTTGCATGCCTTCGCCGCCGGTTTCATCTCAAAGGGGCGGTTGACGCACAGGCGCAGAGCGCAAACGAGGGTGGCCGTGACAAAGCCGAAAGCACAAGCGTCGCTCAGAAGGGTGCGGCTGTGCCGGCTGCTGGCAGGAGCATACAGGACCTGGTGGCCACGTTCTTGCAACGTGTCACTCTCACAACACTTCTCGACAAGGTGTGAATGCGCTGTCCACTTTGCACATGTGTGTTCATTGGTGTGGGGAGCTGTGATTGTCTCAGGAGCAGCTTTGGGCCTCTCCCGTACTTCTGACGTTCTCTGCATGCCTGTGTATGTCCGTCTCACAATTGCCCATCTCTCCCTCTCACAACTACCACTTCTCTCTCTCTCTCTGTCTCTGTCTCTGTCTCTGTCTGCCTCCCTCCCTCCCTCTCTCTGTGTCTGTCTGTCTGTCTGTCTGTCTGTCTGTCTGTCTGTCTGTCTGTCTGTCTGTCTGTCTGTCTGTCTGTCTGTCTGTCTGTCTGTCTCTCTGTCTCACACGGGGCGCGATGCACAGGCCATGCTGACGGCACAAGGGTTTTCTGTACTCGACATTCCACGACTGGTCCAGGCGGGCGTACTGCGCATCATGCCAGGTCGTGCGAAAGCAGAGAGAGGCCTTGGGTGGGAATGGGGCTTTAGAACTTTGGAGGTTGCGCACAGGGGCGGAATGTGGGCCTTGATGTCGCTTGGTTGGGAAGGTGAAGCGAATCCATACACAATATCTTACACACACACACACACACACACACACACACACACACATGATGACAGGGTCGGATGGGCTGTTCTCGCTGGGGCTGCCAAACCTGGGCACGTTTGCAAAGGAGCTGCTTGAAGGGCGGAAGCAGCTGCTGGCCACCATCCGGCGCAAGAAGTACAAGTGCGTGTGCGCCATTACGTGGGCCGCGATGCATACAAGCGCTTTTGTCTGCGACGGGGTTCCGGCTCTGCAAACTCACATGCACACGCACGTTCATGTACACAAACAGTTACATGCACACGCACGTACATGTACACAAACCTTTGCACGCACGCACGTACATGAACGCAAACATATGCACATGTTCATGTACACGCGCATTCACATGTCCGCATGCCTGCGGCACTGCAGAGAAGCGCTGCGGGTGGACTTGGAGAAGGTGGCGTTGAAGGAGACACGCCTGCCTGTGCAGTACCACGTGTTGGACGTGATGGGGTGTTCCCACATTCGCGTGTCGCAGACCACGCGTGGGCCAATGCTTAGGGTTCAACAACACACAGCTCAACGTGCAGTGGGCGTGCATCATTAGCATGTATGTGTGTGTGTATGTGTGTGTGTGTGTGTGTGTGTGTGTGTGTGTGTGTGTGTGTATGTGTGTGTGTGTGTGTGTGTGTGTGTGTGTGTGTGTGTGTGTGCTTCTGGCTTCGTGCAGGAGAGAGCCCGTGGGGAGTGAAGGTCGTACAGAGGCTTGGGTATCGGTGTACTCATGTCAGACAGAACACCGTGCATCGCACGGCATAAACTATAGAGCTTGTAACAGCAGCACGAAAGCTGCGGCTCGCAATGTATGTACACGTGTGACGTGAGGCAGTTGAGGAGGAAGCCTTGTGCGAGAAGAAGTAACCGTAACATCACCAGTGTAAAGGACAGTAGGGAGGGAATCGACTGACAGCAGTGGTCATGGTGATAATGGGCAGGGCAGCTGGTTGAGCAGGGCTGCAAATACACACACGTCGACACACACGCAAGTGCACGCACAAGCACACACACACACACATCCACATCCACACACACACACACATCCACACACATCCACACACACACGCACACATCCACACACACACACACACACACCGTTTCTGCTCAATAGGAAGTTTATAATGCGTTGGTTCCACGACCCTCACATCTACACATCCACACACCATACACATCCACACACCATACACACACACACACACACACACATCCACACACATCCACACACCACACACACACACACACAGAGCACAGCATTCATTCATTCGGCCATGTGAAGGTCCAGGGACGGTCCGTCATCAGAGGCAATCCAGGAGGACGCGCCAGCCACGGTGAGAAGGCCTCCGGCTGCCGCGGCGATGTATGCCAGTGCATCGTCGCACTTGCCCAGCACGGGGATGAAGTCTGGGATGATGTCGATGGGAAGCTGGAGGTACAGGAATGCTTCTGCGGTGATGAGCATGCCCAGGGTCATGCACAGGTAGCCCGGGTCCACAGCCACAATGTCCATGACATCTGTGATGAGCAGGGACTGGTACCACAGCACTGGCGCCGTCGCCATGAACATGATGCAGCCCACCTGCTGCATGAACCCTCCAACCAACCCAGACATTGTGCTTGGCTGCCGTGAAGGTTTGTTTGTGTGTGCTTGCGTGTTGTCTTGCGTGTTGTGTTGTGCTTTGTTTGTGTGCAATTTGGCTGTCTTGCTTTGGCTTGTGCGAATGTCATGTCACGCTTTCTTTCGTTCCCAAGTGCCCACACGCACCATCCTGCCGTTCCTCCCATTATCCCCACGATCGCTCAGCTCCCCAAAGCGCCCATCATCTTGGCGCCTCCTCTCTCTTGTGCTCTGCAGGACCAAGGTTATGTGTTTCATCGTTTCATTCCTTCATGTGCATCAAAAGGACCGCCAGGGCGTTGTGTGTATGTATGTATGCACAAGCAGGTAGACAAGTCTCTTAGCCCCTTTCAAAAAGGGTGTGTGAGAAGCAAGAGATAAGCTGAAAGCACGCAATGAAGGGACACTTAGGAGCAAGGACTGTGCTTCGTCAAGAAAGGGGAGGAGGAGGAGGAGGAGGGTCGAGGGGTGGTCATAGGTTGAAACCGGGCAAGGAAAGGAAGAAAGGAAGGTCATGAGAGCATGATAAATGGCGGCAAGTGTATCAATCAATCAATCAACCACACACACACACACACACACACACACACACACACACAGACAGCAAGTCTAGTAGGTGGATGATGATTGGGCAAAGGGGACGTGTGTCGGCTGCACCAAACGACAGGCGGCCAGCTGCGCAAAGTGGCTCACGTCCCAGCCTTGCACGCGTGCCGTGGAGGCAACCCGCATGTACAGGCTTGTATCGACGCCTGGCATCTCCTCCTTGCACACAATGGGGAATGCCGGGTAGAGGCTGGCCATGTACTCCAGCAGCGCCGCCATGTCGGTGCAGCCGAGCAAGTGTTG